TTCTCACTGAGGGCGCTTCCGGCACAGGCCGGAAGTTTTACACAGTTAAACAGGAAATCCCGCCTCTTAGCCTGTGGCCACGCCTCCGCTGCAGCCTGGTCCGCGAAAGCGAGAGAGGCCTGTGATTAAGTAGGTTGTGGGTCCGCCGGGTCCACTAGAGGTGGGTGTGGATAGAAGGGCGTTGTGCCCTCCCAGTTACCTTCCTCCCTTGTTATGCCGTGTGGTGTGACGCTATTAAGGCGACAGTTACGCGAGATGGGGGAAGTGGGGCGCCCGAGGCTGCTCGCGGCCCTGGGAGGCCCCGAGGAACGGTCGGTCCGGTAGCGGAGGCGAGGGGCGGGGTTTCTCTGAGGGCCTGAAGTCCGGTGAATGGACGTGGCTGGAGCGAGGGGACCACCAGGGGCCTAGCCCGGCCGCCTGGGACGGATTCACCGGGAAGCCGGAGGCGGCCCTTTCCGCGAACGGCACAGGCGAGACTTGAATGATAAGTGTGCCTGTTGGGTGCGAATAGCACGGCCGAGCTGCTGTCGGATAAACGTACAACCCAAACTAGATAGGCAAGTTTAAATCTAACTGTGGGTCGAAGACTTAATCTGCAAGTGGAAAAAGGGAGGTGGAACAGGTAGAAGAAGTACTGTGGAGGGAATCAGAGGACATATTTAAGAAGTCTGTGTCTAGTTTGGGTGAAACAGGATACAGGCAAACAAGGAAAAATAAGACTAGAAAGCGAACTTGAACTCTAGAGTTTGCTGTACATTCATCATTTGGTCATTAGTAGGGAGTGACAGTGTGTCAGCGTATGTGGGCATCAGGAATGGAACTGGACCTTGAGTAGATCAGTACCAGTATCTGGGACTGATTAGAGAAATACAGGGAAGGACCAAGTCTGTATCGTAAATGCAGACCAAAGCACTATTGAGTTAAATCTGTGCAGCAAGTCCACAGCACTGTCTTAATGTGTCTAATTTCTGCCAACAGTACTACTTTAGAAAATACTATTATCCTTGGCGCCTGTGGCTCAAGGGGCTAAGGCGCCAGCCACATACACCTAAGGTGGCGGGTTCGAATCCAGCCCGGGCCTGCCAAACAACAATAATGGCTGCAACCAAAAAGTAGCCCGTCGTTGTGGCGGGCGCCTGTGGTCCCAGCTACTTGGAAGGCAGAGGCAGGAGACTCGCTTGAGCCCAGGAGTTTGAGGTTGCTGTGAGCTTTGATGTCACAACACTCTACCCAGGGGGACAGCTTGAGGCTCTGTCTCAAAAAAAACCCTATTATCAATAATGTGGTTCTTGTTTCAGTCTTGGAAGACTTTGGGATATTAGTCTTTGATAATTGTAGAATTTGAAATAAAAGCTGATATGGTTGTCTCCAAGTCAGTTGGTCACAATATTCTACTTTTAACATTAAGACCTTTCACATTGTTATATTGCAATGGCACCATGGCTTTTTTTAAAGGAAAAAACAAAGATTGGGTTGGTCGAGGTTATCTTTTGGGGGATAATATAAATGTAAAAACTAACGTACATTTATCAAATGGTTTACAATTTCTGTGAAGTCAGTATTCATAACAATGTTAAAGTTAAGAGCAGTGAAAGATTTTCAGTCAGTTCTTTTTGGCTCTCTAGATACATAAAGTGTTCTCAATAAGGCATTGGAATTTACAGCAAAGCCTTTTTATCGCTTCATTTAAAGCAGCGTAGATCCAGCTGATTTCTGGATTCTTTGAAAAAAAGAAAAAAGATTTTTAAGATTTTTAATAAAAATCAGTATTTAATATTCATTAAAATTCTGTGTAAAGGCAGCACCTGTGGCTCAAAGGAGTGGGGTGCCAGCCCCATATTCCGGAGGTGGCAGATTCAAACCCAGCCCCAACCAAAAACTGCAAAAAAAAAAAAAAATTCTGTTCAACTAAAATTATCATTTTAATGCATAAAAAACCAAAGCTAATAAAAAATAATGTGATATATTGGAAAGAGAATTAGGCTTTGGGGTCAGGCTGGTCACTAGCTAGGTGACCTCTGGGAATTTATTTACCCTGTTCTTTGGCAAAATGTTCTTAATTTCACTTAACTACAGAGTCATGAGGATTAAGGAAGATCCTAACTGTACGGAGTGTTTTCTATGTAAATATGTTAGGCTTTGTAGGTCTGTCACAACTATTCAGTTTTGCTGCATATAACATAAAAGCAGCCACAGACAATACATAAAAGAATGAGCATGGCTGTGTTGTAATAAAACTTGTATATGGATGCTGAAATTTGATTGTTTATTTTTCATATATCATAAAAGAGTTGTTTTCAAGTACAATAGAACCTTTGTAAATTGACCACTCAGGGGACGGTAACAAACTGGTCAACGTACAGAATTGGTCAACGTTAAGGAACTAGGCCTACTCCACTGTTACGTACATGTGGTACGTGCCTGGTCTATGAAAATTAGATCAACTTAAGGAGGTGTTCAGTGTAAGTAGGTGGTCAACCACAGAGGTTCTACTATATTTAAAAATGTAAAAAGACAGGCATGATGGTGTATACCTGTCCCAACCACTTGGGAAGCTAAGGTGGGAGGATTTTGAGAGCCCCCCTCAGTGGGCAGCACACCCACGCAAAAAAAAAAAAAAAAAGATCATTCTTAGCTTGTATCCCATACAAAAACAGGTGGTAGGTCAGACCAGATTTGGCCCATGGGCCATAGTTTGCTAATCCCAGCCTTAAGACATTTTAATCCTTGCAACATCTATTATGTCTTTATTTTATAGATGAGGGAAACAGATATGGAGTCGTTAGGTGATTTTTTTCAGAATTAGGTAAGTGTTATAACCATTAAAACTGACTAGAATAGAAACTTACACATGGTCCACAGATTCAGCTGAAATAATAGACATTTTTGCAACACTTTCCATCCATTTATTCCACAGGCATTTATTGGACAATGCGGCTGATACAGTGCTAAGCCCATTAAAATAATCTTACAGAGTTGTATTGTAAGCAATTACTTGATGATTGCCTTTAATGTTTAAAAGGATGGCTTAATTGAAACACAGGCAGAAAAAAAAAATCAGTATCTTGGTTTTATATAAGACTTTTTACTCCCCTGAAAGTGCTTCAGATACTTTTTATCATTCAATCTCAGAACATTTTCATGGGAAGGATGAGAATTAACCTTATAAATAATCTTGGGGGGAAATCGAGGCTGTGGGTTGGGAGTATTATATGACTTAGGGCCATAATATTAACATCAGAACCAGAACTCAAATTTCCAGCATTCTTTCCTAACATAAATGCTGTGGTAGAAATGGAGGAATAACACATAAAAATAGGGTTCTAAGACTTTCTAAGTTCATCATGATACATATCACATGTGATAACAGTAATTCAGTATAGGTTTTCAGAATAATTTCCTGTCTTGTAACTAACACAGCTTTAAGAGTGTAAAATACACCAATCTAAATTATAAACAGGTCATAGAAACATTAAAAGTCACTTCTTTTTCTTAAAACAAATGTAGATTTGCTTCTTGCCTAAAATCAATGGCATGCTGACATTTGCCACCTTTTTAAAAGGAAGAGAGTTGCACTTACTTCAAACATAAGAGTGAGGAGACCTAAATATGTTGAATATTTTTGCCAGTTGCAAAACCTTATACAAATTTATTTTCTCAGTATTCCATTAAACTGGAGAGGAGGCAGTTTTTAAGTAATTGATTTTGAAATTTTTGGGGCGAGAAAAAAGCAAAGGTCTTTCAGAATGAGAGTATCCAAGCCTAAATTGACTTTTGGAAGCAAACTGCAGCTTCTGAACACTGCTTTATTGTTTTGGACCAAAATGCATGATCAGTGAATGTTATTCCCATTATATGATTTGCTCAGCAGTTTACAGGAAGTATATAAAACCTTTCTACAGCCCTTAATTTAAAAAGAAAAATCATGGTTCACATTTTAAGGACCGCATTCCAGTTATATCTTACAAGCCATTCTTTATCAGTATTGGGGGGAATATTACTACTGATGTAAATTCTTACAGTAAAAAGGATATGTAGTCCCCTGATGTACTTGATCAATCACAGGTTTGCTACTACATCTTAAAACCAGAGACAGTGCCTGCCCTACCAACACACACACACACACACACACACACCCTTCCATAACGTGCCTGTGTTTGAAGTAAGTTTTTAGAAGGGCACCATGATGGTATTATATAAATCTGTAATCATACATTCTTATACAAATAATACTATTAAAGTACATGTATAGTTATAATGCTCCTGTCCACAGAGCTGGCTTGTCTCTTCCATTGTGCTGATTACACATTTGTCTACCCTACCAACCCACCTCCATTCCCCAGCCCTTTTTGATTTTTAGTTTATAACATTTTATTCTAGATTTATTGTTCATACCATCACACATTATCATCCCTGAGTTTATTTTCTGGTAAACTTATCTAGTGAATTATAACACATTGTATAATTGCTTGGATCATTTAACTTCCTGTTTTCTCCTCAGTGAAAAAACTGAAATGACTCATTATACTTTCTGACTTTGTGACCAGGGAGTTGTTTTTTTTTTTTAATGAATTTTTATGAATTTTTAATGAATTCTTTTATTTACATATAAATAAAAGAATCCTGGTAATGACTTATAAACATGTGACTGTATTTTTCTTATTGAATAGAATTCAGGGGTATTCCTCCAAAACCCACATAGTGCAGAGACTTTCTAACACCAGGTTTCCATTTGTATTTAAATGGACAAATTAATGAAGGCACAGGCTCACTTCATCAATAAAGGACATCAAACACAGTCATGAGGCACTAATAACACATAAGCATAGTCACAAGAAAAAGTGTTCAAAGTCTTCAGTAACTTGTCTCCCTTTAACATTTGGCAAAATTCAGTCTAGATATTGTAATACCTCAGAAAGAAAAAATAAATAAGATGTTACATTACAATGTCAGATTACCTACAATTAGTCTTTAGAAAAGGGATAGAATGAAAGGAAGACAACACACATTTCCTATATTCTTAGGTTATCCTTCCTTTCTGAGGGTCTCAGATGTCTGCGTGCATCTACAGAAATGCCAGCTATACCTGAAGATTAAAGAGATTTTTGGTAGTTGCTGACATGGTCCCTCAACACTTAAAAGTTTATATCACAAAAACAAAACTAGCTTGATTTTTGCTTTAGTCCTTTGTTAAAAACCATAAATCAAATTTGGTTCTTTAAGTGATCTAAAAACATTTAAAATAAAGGAAGAAGAATATATGCTATCTTCCAAAGAATAAACAGATTACATATTTAGACTTCAGTGGCAAATAAATATACTTTAAAGCTAAGCAATTCCTCTCTATCTACAAACTAAGAAAACAGAGTTATTTTTTTTTATTGTTGATGCCCAAGTCACTCAGAACAGCAAGAACTAGTTCCACAATTTTAGGAGACTTTTTCTATGACACAATATAAAAGATAAAGGTTTAACTTAAGTCTGAGCAGGCAGAATAGGTCTGCACTCACAACCTCCCTATTACAAACATGGCAAATGAACGGCAGAACAGCTGAATCTGTTTACATCGTAGCCATTGTCTATGTCTATAACTACTTGCTTTCTCTAGGTTAATACCACCCATTGCAAGAGATGGCCATCAGTTAAGCATGCCACTTTACAAGTAAGCCTAAGTCTACAAATGCCGAAAAAACATGGAAATATTTCAGCCTATCCATAGTTTAAAAACTTTTTTCCTAGGAAATTAATTTTGATAGTATTTCCCAAGTCCTTCAACTAAAGGTACCTTGATAATTTGTCTTTTTACATCAAAATCTACCAGTTAAAAAGAAAACAAACTTTTCCAGGTATTAGGAATAAGGGAGCCAATACAACATGGATTTCAAATGTATTTTTCAATGAATTGCAATAAAATGTTTCTGCATGCTTGAAAAATTAATTGTAAAGAAAAAAATAAAGAATAGTTATAGGAAAATATTAATAATTTGGCGTTTGGGGTTTTTTTCTTTTTTCTGTATAAAAAATTCCTAATATTTATCTCTGACAACACTGTATGTGTGTATGTGTAAAGTTCATTTCCATGCCTATTACATAAAAATAACTATCAGAAATATCAATCTATAATTGTCAGCTAATATACGTCCAATCCATTGCAGGAGGGAAAGTAAAACAAAAAAAAATCTAAAATAATAATTAAAGCTTATAGTTAATTTTTTTCCATTTTTTCTTTCTTTTTTTTTTTTTTTCCTTGTTTGAAATTTTGAAAATTTTTTTTTGGTGGTTTTTTGGTGTTCTGTTGCCAGCCGCTGATTCCTAGATTAATGGCCTCCAAGTAGATTTGAAAGGAAGCCGGAAGACTTCTTGTTTTGCTGTGCTTCTGCTTCCTGGTCTTGTGTAAGTCCCAATTCACTCTCAATTTGATCCAGCTCTGACTGGTCAAGTAGTTCAAAGTCATCACCTTCTTCGGTATCTGTGTCCTCTCCTGGGCTGGGTGCAGCCTGCGAAAGTGCTTGCTGCACACCCCCTAACTGGTCTTTGATGGCAGCGGTCATTGCAGCTGTGATGACGTTCCCAGCCAGGTTACTCATCAAATGAAAGGTTTGGTCACTGTTCAGAGGAAGGGTGAGACCAGCTGCTGATTGCTTCTCTTTGCTTGGTTTGTGACCACTATCCAACTGTTCCTTTTTTCCCCTTAGCTCAGTGGGCAAGCCAAGGCTTAATTCATCTTCATCATTTGTTCCTGTGCCATTTTCTAGAGATGGGAAATCTGAAAGATCTCGAGAGAAAACTTCCTCACTGGGTCGGTCAAGATCTGTGAAAGGCAGAACAGAAGTTCAAACTTAAACATCATGACAAATTTGAAATAAAAGAGGTATCTAAAAGATAACTGACTTCAATCCAACCCTTTTGGCAACTTTGGTATTTATCTAGCCTCCTGAGACAACTTGAATCAATTTAACCACATATTTGACCCCTCCCAGATCTGCAACACTCCACAGTGTCTCTGGACAAACACATCCCCCTATGTCTTTAGATGTCCTCTTAAGCACAGAGCAGTGTAGGTAATGATTTAATGTTCAACCTTGTCTAATATTAGCTTGAGGCTTTGACTGAAGTTTAAGCATTCACTATAAAAATTCTATCCTGCTCCTAGGGTAGTAATTATCTTAAGCCAATGGGAATGTGTATTATCATGAAATAAAAAAATACTTCAATTGGAAGTTTTTGTGGGTTCTAGAACATCAGATGGTGACCATTATCCAGCCTCAGTATTTTCATACATGGAGATCTAAGTACCTGTAACCTGTGTTGTTTAAAGCAATGAAAAGAAGATACTGCTGTTCCTATTTCATACTCAACCCAACAGCTGTGAAAACATTTGGCTCTCTAGAACTACAGCTGACACTGACCATAGTAAGATTCAGGACATTTGAAATGACAAATTAGGTGGTAAACTGATGTTACTGGTTTTATTTTTCATAGAAAATCTTTTAATCTAACTGTTAACTCCTTGTAACAGTGAGTGAAATCTTCAGTTAATGAAAAGCGTTCTTTGGGTTGGGTTATTGTCCCTTTAGTGTGTAAGTCTTAGACGGTGCTACAGAACAACGTCTTTGTTATCCTGATATTTATAATTTGGCCTCATTTATAGATATTGAATGAGCTTGAACTTGTAGAGCTTGGGTGAGCTTCGATAATCTTCTTGTTCTAATGTACTTTAAAGACCCAGAAATTGAGGCTCACAGAAATGTCAGCTAGTGATAAAGGCAAGACTCCACTTGGCTCTCCCAGCCTTCAAATCCATCTTTCTAACACTGCACACCCTCACTATCTGCTTGCTATAAAAAAGAAAGAATGTTTTTGGAAAATAACTATGGAACAGTTTGTTCATTCAGTCTGCTCATATGTTTACTATAAGGTTGAGAGCACTTAATCCAGTGAGACTAACAAAAGTTATTTACTGCACAGCATTCTCTCTCAATTGAAGTTAGGGATAAAATTTGCATTCGTAAACAACACTGTGCTCTCCCATATTAAACTGTATTTAATCTAAGTATGAAAACAAACAAGCTTTTTTAACTTTGAAGACACATGAGAACCTTAGAGTCAGTTTTGTCCTCAGGGAACTTGCCTTTCATACTTGAGTTCCTTTTAATAGGGACGGGTCCTCCCCGTGCAGGATTAGCTTTTGTCTTGGGCTCCTCCCGTTATTGCTACAAGCATTGCTGCCAGATAGTTTCAAAATAAAAGCAGCTTTGGACATTGACTTAGATTTTTTTCCCCTCATACTTTTAAAAATTTAACAGCTTGTGAGACAGAATTCATATACCAAAAACATTCACTCTAGTTCTAAAGTATACAATTCAGTGATTTTTACTGTATTCACAGAGTTCTGCAACCATTACCACAATCCAATTCTCGCACATTTTCATCACTCCAAAAAGAAACTCAGACCAATGACTAGTCACTCACTATTCCCTCTTTCCTCCGGTTCCTGGCAACCACTAACCTTTATCTGAATTTGCCTGTTCTGGACATTTCGGGTAAGTGGAATTAGGCCGTATCTGGCCTTTTGTGTTTGGCTTCTTTTCATTTTGCATAATGTGTTCAAGGTTGATCCATGTTGTAGCAAGTATCAGCACCTCATTCATCTTTATATTCAAGGAATACACCATTATATAGGTACGTACATTTTACTTATCCATTCAGTAGTTGGTACAAGTTTAATAGTTCTGTATGCACTCATTATAATAAAAATAAGAGTACCCAGAAATATTTTAGCATACCATCGGAAGTGTCTGTCTGTGGAGTGTATCCTTCTGAAAGGTTGAAGGTCCCATTATCAGTCCAGGATACCTCTGAGACGTCTGTGTCAGACACAGATAACTCTTTGGCAGCAACAGTGAGGCTAATCTGTGTCAACATAAATACCATGGTGTGTTTTAAACTGCTGAAGGAAATATTTTGAAAAATGCACATTAACTCCAAAAATGTGAGGATAATAATAAGTCTAGATGAGTATTTTCCTTTTGAAATCAGTCATCTTACAGAAATGGGAGAAGTCTATTAGGAAAATCATTCAGCATTGGTACGGGTAAATATTTTACAGTGAAACCACACAGGAATTGAAAGTTAAACAAAAAAAATACCTTAGGACAAAGAGCTGAAAAGTCTAATTCACTGTCATCTTTGTGACTTTTTTCTTTATCTGCTTCTGTTGAGAAAAAATTTGGAAGCTTTCAGTTTCTTGGCTAGTGTAGACATGATGTAGTTATCTTATTAGATATTCCTACCCACATGCCTCATAATCTCCAATACCTCCATATAATTAACTGATTAGCTTCACGTATTTGTAAAATGTTTGACTCAAAGAAAATGATTCACATTCGTGGTTCTCATAGTGTGAACCCTGAACCAGCAGCAGCATTCCTGAGAACTTTTTAGAAATGCAGCTTGCAAGTCCTACTCTAGACCTACTGAATCAGAAACTCTGGAGTGAGACCCAAAAATCATGCATTAATAAGCTTTTCAGGTGACTCCAATGGATGTTTTAGGACCCATAAGGCCAAGTTAATAAAAAATGACCATACAGTATTGGTTCCTCTCTGATGTTCCTCTCCTTTCCCTATTCTTTCAATCCCTTTGCACATGGCTCCCACACACTTAGCTCTGTGTTATTTTTTATTTACAGTACTCCAACCCCAAATAAAACCAAATAAATCATAAATAGCAAAATATAGAGTGTTGAGGCTTTTTCTCCCTCCC